ACAGTCTCCATCTAACTTATTTAGAAACAAAGCTCTTCCGTCACCCTTAGACTTGCAAAAGTCTTTAAGGACATTTATTCAACCAAAATAATAGAGGTGAAAATCTAACTTGTAAAAATATCATCAATCTATTTTGTTTCTTTAAAGACTGGCGTTCTTACCAATCGGTCTATCGAGACTTATAATCAAGATACTGTGTTTTTTCTTCTTAGAGTAAGGCCAGGCCAGGCTTTAGGTACCCACTCCTTCCGTGATCACCAGTAATGACATTGGCTAACTGAGGTCGTTCTGTAATGGACTGGACACACTATTGCTGCATCTTCCAAAGAAACACCTCTTAAACGAGGGTTTGCAATTGGAATTACCATCAACAATGTAATCACTACCAAGCAAGAAGGCATTCAGGAAACGATCGCTAACTTGTTGCCATTGGCACAAACGAGTATGTAGCGATGATATAAGTGTTCACATTGGCAACACGTTTATCAGTTCGAGTGACGGGACATAGTTGATAATATCACGAATGGCGGAGTCACGAATGGAAAATGTCAACTTTATTAGGTCACGAGATAAGATGAAGATTTAATCATTTATTGTGTATTTTCTACTTGAATTTAGTCTGAAAATGTAGCATCAAGACCATACGTACACTGAAGAATGAGGCGTGGGGGTGGGGGTGGGAATGGGGGTGGGGGTTGGATAGGGTGGATCAAATCATAATTTGGGAGGGGGGAGGGGGGGTCCATTATGTTTTCGTGCATACTTATTATTTCTCATCAGAAGCGATATATGGTAAAGGTCATTCACTTTCCTTTAGGTGAGTGAGTGAGTATGGTTTTACGCCGCTTTTAGCAATATTCCAGCAATATCACGGCGGGGGACACCAGAAATGGGCTTCACACATTGTACCCATGTCGGGAATCGAACCCGGGTCTTCGGCGTGACGAAAGCGAAAGCGAAAGCTTTAACCACTAGGCTACCCGACCGCCCCACTTTCCATTAAAGGAAGCCAGCGAACGATACCCAAATACAGGCAGATCTAAAGTAACACGTGACTGACCTAATACGTTAATACGTCCCTTCTGCAACATTATTACTTCCAGCTGAGACATATTCGTGGGAAAATATCAGTGTATAAAGCAGGAAATAGCACAATTATGTAAGCTTCGTTTTGAGTATAATTAAGCCGTACCATATGTTATATTTGGGATAACACTTTCTTAGTAAAGTACAGATTTTCGTATTTTTTTTAGGTTGAGTCTCGTCCGGGATTCGAACCCACACTTTCCAGAGTGAGGCACCTAATTGTGTATTCATAGCTTTCGGCCATGGGAGCCGTGCCAATTTACACTTGTCAGAGGGGTACTCAAAGTACGTGATCTAGACTACCAGTCGTCGGACTTTCATTTTTGTGGAAGCCTCGGTGGCTGAGTGGGTAAGATCGCTGACTTTGTGTGCTGGCGATTAGGTGCCTCACTCTTGCAAGGATGTGTTCGAATCCCGGATCCGACTCAACCTAAAAAAAGTACGAGAATCTGCACTTTACAAAGAAGGTGTTATCCCAAATATAACATATGTTACATTTGACCACTTTCTAAAAGGCATTGTGTATTCATATAATTAAGCCGCACTTGAAATTTAGGCTCGCTGAACACCTTAAAGAATCCATGCTAACATCAGGTTCTTTGTTATGTCCATATTATTTTTCCATTTGACACTTTATTTATTTAATTCTAAAGTCCCAGAAGAATAAAATTGAAGAACATAATTTGAAACATGAAAATCGAAAGAATTAATTCGTGACTTCACTAAACAAATTGTGTTTTGAAAAAAAAAAAATATCTAATTAAAACATACTATACAAACTTATATAAACAACTGAACAAAGATATACTACGTGATGAATGATTGATCTAAATGATTTATTTATCCTTGAGTGACAAGCATCGGAGAGCCTCAGCAAGTCTATGTTTTGATTTGTTGCAACAGGTGTTTCCAGTGCGACAAGTGCGTGACACAACTGCGCATGGCATCCGTGTATATACGCCGATACTGAAATGAACATGCCTAGCAATCAAAGTGAGTGATGCTTCAAGCCAGGTCATATCTGTTTATGAATCATATAACCTCTCTGCTCTCGTAGTAATATAGATTTCACACCAAGGTCACGTGATCCAGATGTTTTGACCCCTTACCTTCGGACGATTGATCATTCCTGTGTCCGAGATCGAGATAAACTGTGTTAATATCCATGCGTTAAGTATATCTATGGGCATCTGTTATGAGTCATCTTCATATTTACATGCTACTGACATAAAACTTATATACTGTGATACGTTTACGAATTTCAAAAATCAAATTCAGAAAATCATGAACCAAAGGGAAATATTTTTCATATTTTGTAAATAATTACATCTCTTCTTCCCTCTGTATAGATCCGTTTTTTTAAGTACAATAAAAAAAGTTAACTACGGCCTTGGCAATGTATTGTTTACTGCTGTTAATGCACGTGACTTCAAGATACTGTCAGTGCTAAGTAAATATATATTTGTTCGCACCCTTATATTCTATATTGACATAATGAATATTTACAGCAGGACATGTGTGTGGTTTCTAGTTTACAGGCGATACATCAAAAGTCTACCTTTTGTAAACAAAATAAAAATAAAGTCATTTAACAAAGGGACATCGAGGCTGGGGGCATCTGAAGTCATCTTTACACAAACAACAGGATGTATTTGAATTTATCCCGAGGTGTATAAAGGTAAAGGGAAACGTAAACGCCTTTTGTCACAGAGTAAAAAATACCACCGACCATCCTATCACAGCAATCGTACAGTGTCGCACTTGTGAGGACGCATCCGCTGTAGATTGTGAAGCAAGTTTTGAAACACCTGCTTGGCCGAGAGACTATATAAGAAGCATCGCATCGCTTGACTTCAACCGGTTCTCTGGCCGTTTATAGACGACAGGTGCAGGCTTCGTATAAAAAAACGTCGGGTGAGGACCACCACTGTCTACAACCTAAAAACGAGGGTCATCTTTTCAAAGGAAATCAATTATGCACATATTAATGAAGCTAGCTTCTGACGAGATTTTTAAGTAGCGCAGATTGTGTTGTGAATTCAGAAATGTTTTTGGTGGTTATTTTCAAAATTTCACACTAGGAGGTGTTTTTATGCCGTCCAGTAACTTCCGTTTAGACCTGCAGTAATATTTTAAAAATAGAGCGTCAACTTATCTTATAGGCAATAATTATATGATTATTAATATCGATTTGAATTCTCCCAATATTCATTTATTTGCCGATGGAATTGAACCTATATGTTAACGTTGCATATTATGTTAGTGTGGATCTTGCCTGTGGTGGTAATATATAATAACCCTTTGTCGTGAACCTTTCATTTATCTGATTATGGAAGTGACATCCCTATCATATTTCTAATTAAAGTAAAGAATATCTTGCGGCAATTCAATACGTTTCGCGATGTTGTTTATTGCAATTCGGAGCATCTGCCAATCAGAAGCCACGATGTTAAAAATCAACGTGAGTGACAGGTGGAGGGTCACGTGGCCACACAGCAGATGAAGGTCGTTCATGCGTAATATATTTCAGTAGAACTTTGAATGAATGCGAGACATGTAGATATCTCATCCTGATGTGAATACATTCAAGTGTTATTAACGCTAACTTACTACGCCCCGAACGAGATTTGTTATCCAATGTTCGGATTCGACAAAGGAATTCCTTCTTCAATATTATGAAGGAAAATTAGTTCTAATTCGTCCATTCAATCGTTGGTTTTTGTTCGGGGAGAAAAAAACAGTGCATGGCAACATTGGTGATCAATAATTAAGATATATTTTATATAGTTCAGGTTTGCTTTAGCTACACGTTCTACCATAGTAATCGTATCAATGTTGGGTCTTTAGTTACGCATGTAATATTTACTGGATTGCATATACAGGTTTCGGGCTTGGGTTATATACGAGAACCTGAATAATAAATGCGTTGGATCAAAGAAAAGTCATGACAGGTGCAACACGGCCCCAAACTGGGTACATAATTTTATTTTTAATTCAAGAGGATTCAAGACTGATGATCATTTGATCTTCTTGAAGAACAATATACTAATACAACCTTATAAAGAAATTATTGTCTGACAAATATCAACTGTATAATGTATGATATACGATAGCAAATGGATAACCTGATCTTGTGACCATGATTCATGCTGTAACGTTAACACACATTGTAGCGTTATTGAGGCGAGTCACTTAAAAATGCAGGTTTCAAGTATATTCAGAATCGAACCTATGTCAAGAATGGGATTAGTGAACGCACTTCCCACACACTTATCTACTTTTCCTTTAACAGAGAGAGTTTGTATATTCATTGTAACGTTATTAAGGCGAGAGACGCAGAAATATAGGTTTCAAGTGTATTAAGAGTCGAACCCATGTCTAGAATGAGATAAGCGACCGCAATAACCACGCACTTGTCTACCCTTCCGCTTATCACATAGAGGTTGGGTAGCCCAGTGGTTAAAGCGTCAGTCCGTCTCGCTGAAGATCCGGGTTCGATTCCCCACAAGGGTACAACGTGTAAAGCACATTTTTGGTGTCCACTCGCCGTGATGTGGCTGTAATAATTGTAAAAGCATAGCAGGGCTCATTCACTCATCAAAAACAAAACGACCCGTGAAGATCCGGGGTAGAATAGGTCTTCAGCAACCAATGCTTGCCGTAAAAAACGACTATGCTTGTCATAAGAGGCGACTAACGGGATTGGGTGGTCAGTATAACGATATTTCCACACCAACACACACCGCGTAGAAGTATTACCCATGTCAAAGGATCCGTGAACAGTCATTTTTCATTCTCAGCTTCCTGGGGGGAATACTGAAATATTGTTCAAAGCAGCGTAAAACTCAACTGCCAAATACCATTGAAATAAAAGTGTGGTGAGGGAACCCGAGCCAAAAGAATGGCGGTTTACAATGGTGATCAGTACTCATGTCCATGCTACTGAGAGGTTCAAAGGTGAGGTTTAAAAAAGACTCGCGTGTGAACCTTGACGCACGTTTGGCTCCACGCTCCAGCGATTTCAACAAATGGTCATAACTCATTGTGCCTAATCTTCAAATGATTTTAGAAATGCCACAAAAGGAATAAAGTAGAGTACACAAAGAAAAATGAGTTCCTCGGAACGAGGCTAGCTGCTAAAGCTGACACTAGTGGTCTATCGTGACACGTCTCTAGAGGTCATCGGGCTAGTGTCACGTGAAACTGGGGTCACAGGTCAAATATGGTATCCGGGTGTTTAACTCTGCAAACGCGAAACGAAAATAGCACATGTTGCAGATTCTGACCTGTAAAGGCCTGCTTGGCAACGTATATGAAATAACTGCTAAATCCAAAATATTCATATCTAATTAAGTCACCTCTAAATGTGAGAACTATATTAAGTCACTCCAAACTGTGCAAGCTATATTTAGTCACTTCTAAATGTGGGAGCTATATATTGTCACTTCTAAATGTGTAAGCTACATTAAGTCACTTCTAAATGTGCGAGCTATATTAAGTCACTTCTAAATGTGTAAGCTACATTAAGTCACTTCTAAATGTGCGAGCTATATTAAGTCACTTCTAAATGTGTAAGCTACATTAAGTCACTTCTAAATTTTGGAGCAGTATTTAGTCACTTCTAAATGTGGGAGCTATATTTAGTCACTTCTTAATGTGTAAGCTACATTAAGCCACTACTAAATGTGCAAACTATATTAAGTCACTTCTAAATATGTAAGCTATATCAAGTCACTTCTAAATGTGGGAACATTATTAAGTCACTTCTAAATGTGTAAGCTACATTAAGTCATCTCTAAATGTGCGAGCTATATTTAGTCACTTCTAAAAATGCAAGCTATATTTAGTCACTTCTAAATGTGCAAGCTATATGAAGTCACTTCTGAATGTGCAAGCTATATTTAGTCACTTCTAAATGTGAGATCTATATGAAGTCACTTCTAAATGTGAGATCTATATGAAGTCACTTCTAAATGTGCAAGCTATATTTAGTCACTTCTAAATGTGCAAGCTATATTACGTCAGTCCTTAATGTGCAAGTTAAAATTAAGTCAATCCTAAATGTGAGAGCTATATTCAATCACTAACAAGTTTGATTGAGGTCACTCAAAACCTAATTGGTTTGTCTCCTTAATCAAATTCTATTATGTTAATCAATCTAGCAGTGTATGAGTTCGCTTACTACACAGAAACATGTTTTCACTTGACACCAATCACAACATCTAGACCTAAACTTGAAAAAGTACACCTAGTATACGAGCACTGGGTAGTTACTTTTTAAAGTTATGTACGTTTGATGTATAAATTTGAAAGGTTTTCCACACAAAATATACTACCATTCTACACTTTAAGGATAAATGTTTCAAGGTCAAACTTCTGAAGAAAATCATTTGCATTTTAATACTTTTTAGAACACAAAAACAATTCGAGACACGTGACATACTATAAGAGACAGCTTTCATATTACCAGCCGTCCAAAACAAGGGGAGCCATGTCTCGAACAAGCGGTCATAACCTGAGGCGTTCAAACACATATGCTGATAACTATGTCAATATTTATGTGCGTACATACACAGGTATACTGGTATATAAGGTCCTTGCCGCGTACATATTTGACCGACTGACCGCACGTGTCACCTCTAGCCACCATGTCTGATAAACACTCGTATGAAGTGAGTAAAGTAAGTATTGCAGTATTGTGTGTGTTTGTAGGGGAGGGGGGGGGGGGGGGGGGGTTGTCATCGGAAAACAAAATGGGCTTCACACGTTGTACCCATGTGAGGATCTACCCGGGTCTTCGGCGAGACAGGCCAACGTTTCAACCAGTAGGCTATCCTACCGCCCCCCGACCCGTGAAGATTCCGGGGTAGAATAGGTCTTCAGCAACCCATGCTTGCCGTAGAAAGGTGACTTTGCTTGTCGTAAAAGGCGACTAACGGGATCGGGTGGTCCGGTTTTGCTGACTTGGTTAATGCATGTCATCGATGCCAATTGCGTGGATCGTTGCTCATGATACTAATCACTGGATTGTCTGGTTCAGACTCGATTATTTACAGACCGTCGTCATATAGCTGGAATATTGCTGAGTGCGGCGTTAAACAACAAACCAACCAACCACCGCCCCCTCGAACCAAAGATCATACGTTTCAGACATGCATAAGGGACCCAACTCTACAAGCATGCGGCGCCTTAGACGACTAGGCTACCCATGCCCGCATGAAAACATTAACATTAACATTATTAACATTATTAATTATTAACATTATCTAACAAAAAGTATAACATACCCTTTTCTTGAAAACAACAGAACTAAGTACACGTTATACACGATTTTGGAATGATATATTGACATAGAAACCTTTCTTGGATAATTTCGTTGCAGTGAGCACCAGGCGCTATGGCTCTAAAGACATGACATAGGCAAGAAAACTGGGTCATAGGTCATAGCTAGTCTATACAGACAGAGAGACAGACAGGCTTTATACCATGTAACTATGGCAGTTGACATTCGTCACCTCTCGCCCCATCTGTAACTGTAACCTTCAAATTCGGCTTGTCCCGGAATGACACAAGTGGTCACGAATAGGCAAATGAGTGGTTGATAGCATGGCGAACGACCATGACCCACAAAAAGTCACAGTGCCAATGTTCCAGCATGTATACTACCACTATCACATTACTGTGGCTGCAGGAGTCATTTAAGTCCACAGTTGTTTTCCTGTTATGTTCGTATTCATTATTCGCTTTTGAAACCGAGTTCATTGTCCTGGCAACGGTGTAACCGGAAGTGGGGAACTGCATGACGAAAGTGGCAGACGTGACGCAAACATGTTTACGACAATAACTGCAGGATACATTGACATGCTGACACCTGTGATAAAAACCTGCACAAAGGAAGTTAATTTTCCTTCTCAAAAATAACATGACAACTTATCGCCATGGTTCCATAAAAGATGGCTATATGAGGCTGATTATAGCTAAAGTAGAGTCACATTGGTCGTAATATATCTATACACTGCAGTGCATGGCGACCGAGCGTGACTAAGGTTTAGGGTAATAGAGTAGAATTTTATTTCAACAGTAAACACATTTACAACACATTCACCCTCCTATATATTACACGTTTTCACATTAAGAGCCAACAGTGAGTGACCTGCATAGGTTGGGCTGCGCAACATTTACGACATTTGAAACAGGATGTAAAAATTCTTACGCAAATGTATAAAAATTGAAAAAGATTTAAGTGTCCTGAAACGAAACAACGTGACTTAATGTCACAGCATGATATAGGACGTCCATGTTTTACCCACTCAACAGTGTTCACAATTTCACGAAACGTTAAATGTTTGGCGTATGTTTATAATAAGTTACACTGCCACACGGGGCACGGGTGGCCCAGTCGTCTAAGGCGCCGCGGTTCGCTGTGCAGAGTTGCGTCCCTTGGGCACGCCAGAAACCTATGATTGTAGGTTCGAATCCTGGTTCGGCCCGTTTATGTTCCTTGGTTTGTCAGCACCATACCCGTGCTCGTGGGTTTCACCGAAGTGGTAAACGTCTGAGACCTGCATCACTTCGGGCTTTCCTCCCACATTAAGCTGACACGCCGTGATATAACTGGAATACTGTTAAAAGCGGCGTTAAACCCAACTCACTCACTCACTCACTCACTCACTCACTCACACTGCCACATCCTTACAGTAAAGAGCGGTAGGGTAGCCGAGTGGTTATAGCGTTCGCTCGTCAAGCTGAAGATCCGGATTCGATATCCTACATGGGTAAAATGCGTGAAACCAATTTTAGGGTCACCTGCCGTGATTTGGTTGGAATATTGCTAAAAGCGGCATAAAAAACATCTTCACCCACACACAGTAAATATGTAAAATATGAAAAAAAACTGGCGGTTCGGATACTCTATCAAATTCACACGAGTAAACCAATAGATTTGTCTGTCAGTGTGCCATAACACACTCATTTTGTTCGAACCAACTGTATCTCCCTTCCTGATTTCCCTTACCCAACGGAAAGATTACATGTTTTAGAAATAACACCAAGAACAGGACATGAAAAGGTTGTTCTATAGGGCGCAGATTTTCCTGAATCAATGTCTTTAATTACCATTATGATCTGTTTTACTATTTAATCATTACATAAAAAAACTATCAATAATTCAATTCATATCACTTAATGATTAACTGAGTTAAAAAATGGGTAATAAATCGCAGAATGTGCAGAAATTATACAAATGAAAAATCTAAATTTTTCATAACATCAATTTCAGCATTTTTTCCCTATTTTTGCTCTTTTGGCGTAATCAAAGTAATGAGAAGGCTTTTTTTTATGTAATAGTCAGTCTGACATGAATAAGACTTCGAGAGAAATCGTAGGTATATCGACTCATGAAGTGAGACCCAGTTGATCTTGTACCTCGGCTATACAAGCTGACTTACATGGTAGTCTGTCCGAAAGTTAGACTAACATTTAGTCTCTGAAATCTTATATTACACAATATCCTTCTTGACTCTAAAAATATAAAAAAAATTCCCTATGCTGATTTCAGAATGTGGAATAGAGCTAGCTTGAGCTGGCTAGACTTGCTTTTGTATGCATTTATAGATTATTATTTTTTCATAAAATAAATATATTCCACGGTCATGGTGCAGGACTATCCCACAGTCCTTGAACCATATTATTTCCCTTTCGCCTAGACCTACTCCAATGCAAAAGCCCTAAATGAAGCAAGTCTAGATTCTCCCACTTCCAGAAATTCCCATTTCACCGACGCTCTCTTTCAGTTTAAATGTAGTTGCTTGTTTCTATCACAATTACACATTTTCCGAGACTGACCAAGCGAAAGCCTAGAGCTGACTGTTTAGCCTGCACTCTGGCCACGTGTTCATGACATATCGCATGTTCCCCATCCCAAATTCAACATTGTATCACTTCGAAAGAGAGTAGGT